TTTTAAAAAAAAAGGAAAAAATTGGGCCACCTTAAAATCTGGACCTGAGGCGGAGGTGTGCCTAGACGTCCCTAATGCACGCCTAGGAACGCCTAAGCGAGCATTAAGCGATCAACATTGTCGTTGACCGCTTAATTCCCGCTCAGGCTCAAGGCAAAGCGTTTTCATCTCGCTTCCCGTCGTCTAGACACGATTTTTAGAACACTGCCTACAATACTCCTATTTCAAGACTGTTTCCATCATTACTTGTATTTGCTATTCAAACTCTTTCAACTTCAGTTTTTTAATTTCCGAATCGCAAGAATGTATGTAAAAGTTTTATCTATTGAGAAACTCTTAGTCTAAAACTATACTTACAAATTTAGCGTATGTTTGGTTTGTTGTTTTCACTTTTTAGCTTTGTGAAATACTGAAAACGTGTTTGGTCTGATATTTCTGAAAATGCATTTTTGAAAACAAGGTTAAACTTATAATATAAAACTTTAAGGTCCATTTGACTTGTATTTTAGTTTTTAGTTTTCTTTTTTTGAGGGTTTGTTTTAAGATTACTAAAAATGTGTTTGGTTTGTCATCTTGAAAAATTATTTCTCAAAGCAAAATATTAGAAAGCACTTTTGGTTAGAAACTTTGAAAAATTATTTTATGACGTTTTATTCTATAAAATTTTATTACTCAGTAAAAATATAACAATTTTATGTTAATATATTATCAAGCAATATATACATTTTAAAATTGATGAATCTTACATTATCTTTTCTCTTCAAAAGTGAAATAAAAATAAATCATAAATTGAGTTTAAAATATATGAAATAAATATAAAAACTACTGACGTGGACTGAGAATATTTTATCCATGTTCATTTAAATATATTTTTTTAGAATTTTTATGCAAATAATTATTAGGAGTTTTAACTTTTTTTATTTTTTAGAATTTTTTAGAATTTTATATTTTTTGAATTCTTATTTTTTATATTTTAGAATTTTATTTTCAAAATTTTTATTTTTAGAACTTATCATTTTTATTTTTTTAAATTTTAAATTTTATTTGTTAGATTTTATTTTTTATTTTTTAAAATTTTATTTAAATGCTGTTTTTCATGTTGAAAACACTCAAAACATCATAAATGCGTTTTGAGTTTTATGTTATAAACTAATCATTGTTTTTCATAATGCATTTTCAGAAATAACAGATCAAACACATTTCTAATATTTTGCAAAACTGAAAACAACAAACCAAACGCACACTTAATTTCTTAATCTATGAAGTTCTTATTATTTGTCATAATTAAAATGGTGGAAATGAGTACCTATTTAAAACATATATATAAACACATCTTCTCGTGAAATCTGCTTATTTATCAGAAATCATACTTGTAATATTTATATTCAATTCAATTAAAATTAGCATGCAATTTTAATATCTAAATTGACGATTTTCATCATGTAGTATTCAAATTCATATATTTAAATAGATTTTAAATTTTAAATCTCACTTTTAAAGAATGAGGGTCCAAAATCATACGAAGTGAAAAGTTAGGGATTTGTCTCTGTGACACTTGTGCAGGGAGAAATTCCATGTTTAACTTATAAGCGGTGTTTTAAAAGGCGTAACGCGTGGCCATGTGTGGAGTCCAAGCTATGGGCTAGGTGAGATTAGGCGAGGCATATGCGTAAAAATGCGTTTTCTTATGTTAATATTATTTCAAATTTTAGTCAATCAAAAAATCATTTAATAATTAAAAATAATGTATATCAAATATCTAAAAGTGATTTATAGAAACTTTATACATTTTTTCAAAAGTTTCCGACAAGAAGATAAGTTTTAAATGTAAATCAACTTTTTTTAAGTTTTAACTTAAAAAATATAATAAAAAAAGATATTAATGCGCGCTCAAGCATTAGTAGTCAACGATTTCCGTTGACCACTAAATAAGGCCCCAAGCTACTTGGCTTGGCGTTTAAGACGCGTATCGCGCAAGGCGGCGCCTAAGCACGCATTTTAGAACACTAAGCGGAATTACACAAAACTATTCACATCCCTATAAATATTTATCTCCTTGAGCGCACATTTTAGGGGTCATTACATGTTCCTGGGAATAGGCATGTCCTTCAAGATAAGACGGGGCCTAACTTTTAGAACTTGATTTGGATGGACCCATCATATTACATGTTTACCTTTTAGCCCCTGTTTGGTATTTGATTCTTTAGATTTTTTTAAAAAATTATTTTCGAGAACATGTTCTTCCAATAAAATACTTTTGCACGATAACTTAATATTTTTTCATAAAATCTATTCTCAAAACCCTTAATCATGCTAACTCACACACAATTGGGTTAACAAATTTAGTTCCCTATTAAGAGGATGGACTTTGCTACAAGTACATTATGGTGTATATACGGGTGTTCATAATGGACACCCGGCATCTCCTTATTGGATGGAGTACCAGTGGGGCTGGCACTCCATCCAATAGGGGGGTGCCGAGTGTCCATTATGGACACCCTTATGTACACTCCAATGTACAACAAGAATAATCCTTAAGAGGATAGTAGTGAATTTCACGAAATATGCTCCATTGAATTCGACTCTTGTTGGAAACTACTACTACTACTACTAGTAGATAGCATTACCCTTTCATTAGCCATTGTGCATTTACACTTTTTTCTTTCTAAATTGACTATGGGAGTTTGTGCATTTACACATTTCTTTACAAGTAATATAGTGGACATTTGAGTTCGGATTATCATTCCTATGATGACTATAATTTAGGTCTCAATCTAATTTTTCTTTTTCATATTTGACAAAAGCAAATAAATAATTATGATGGTTGTAATTATTTTTTCTAACTATTTTTAACTAATGGAAAATATAAAATAATTGCAAACAACGGATAATTAAAAAATTCAAATACGTGATGTATATTAGGGAATAACAATTTCATATATTGATCACATTTATTCTTAATTCAAAATTCATAACCTAATGTAGTATTCGATCGAATTCTTCTATTTTATTCAATTTACCCATCTCGAGTTCTCATTGAATCTATTTAACTAATTCAATTTCATATCTACATGCGAATCAATTTTAGTTAAACGAAACACTAGTTCTAAGAATTCATATTATGATCGCAATAATTAGTATATGTATCTCTACACATTATAATAATTTACCGAATTTTATTATATGATCTAAATCTCAAACTCACATCTAGATTCGTAAGAGACTCACATAATCATCAAATTATTGATCAGATAATTTAATGGATTAAACTCATAATAAAACCAACACATAAATAAATAAATCACATAAATCTTGAATAAAAAATAAGGGATCAAAAGTCGACTAAATTGTTTTCCCTAATATAAAAATTAGTTATTCATACTGGAAGAATAAAAACAAGAAAAAGTGGAAAGAAATCACCAAAAATTGACCAAACGTGAAAATTTCTGGTGTTTGCAGCTTTCTTTTCTTTTTCTTTTCCTTTTCTCTTTCCTTTTTTCTTCTTTCCTTTTTTGCGTTTTTTCCCTCTCCTGTTGACTTTCTTTCTCATTTTCTCTTTCTTCCTTTTTCTTCTTTCTCTTTCTTCCTATTTNACATAAATTAGGTAGAATTTAATCCAAAAGACAATAAAATATCATAATTTAGGACCACGCATAACTGTATAAACTACACTTATCATCCATGCTGTAAAATTGAATTCCTCTCATCAAATACCACATCAATTATGCTGTAAAAACATACTCTCCCATACTAATCAAATGACACTAGTTGGTATACTCAGTTGTCCAATCAATTAATTAACTGAGATCTCGTCGGCCCTCACCAGATTTACCGACACGAGCATTATAAGTTTCCGCGTACTTTAATTTCAACACGGGTTTCAAATGCCATATTCAAAATTAAGACAACAC